AAAATAATATATTTATAAATATTAAATTAAATAATAAATTTAAAATTTTAAAATTATTTATCTGACATGTTTAAGGTTAAATGCTAAATTTGGTCTCTTAATTTTAAGAAATGCACATTTTATCCTTCAACAATTTTTTGCACTTTTTTGATTCCTCAACTCTAAGAAATGCACATCATTAGTCTTTCTGTTAATTTGGATCGTTAACTCCGTCCACGTGGCATTTTTTATATTTTTTTTTATGATGTGGAGGACAAAATTTTAAAAAGTGATAATATGGATAAAATATTTTGCCACATAATGTTACTGTCACCGAAAAGCGACAAATCTTCTCAAATGGGCCCACATCACCAATCTCTTGGTGACTTGTACTCTGAGGTTTCATTCATCTTCCCGTTCGTTGCCTCTTACCCATTGTAGAAGAATCTCACTCCAATAAGCTTCTTATTACATGAACTCAATCCAAAATCCTTCGTCATCACGCACTGCCCTTTTTATTTCACAGGAATCGAACCCAAATCCCGGTCATTAAAACTCTGCCACTCGAGCCATATCCCGGTATCAAAAAGCTCAATCACAAGATCAGACCCAAAATCACATTCCTTGAGTAACTTAGCATTGTCGGTGGTCTTGAGACCCAAAAACTCAGGCAATCTCGTTGTCTGCAACCTCCTAACCTGCTCCGGAATGACAGCAACCACATGGGGAAGCGTTTGGAGCTTCAACGCCTCCAAGGAAGACAACTTGGTGGAGAAGCCATGAAAAACAGTGTCATGAGTATGGATTATGTTGGGTGCCTCGGTGGTGGAAAGTATCGAAGCAAGAGAAGACTCGTACCAGTGCTTATGAGTAGCAAAAATTGAGGGTTTGGCATCCTACTGAACCATGACAATGAAGGTTTTTTCATTAGCCTGTGAAGTAGAAGAATCGAACCCGAGCTGGGTTCGGTGGAACCCAATTGTTGGGTTCGAGGAACCCAGCAGATCTGGGATCCATGGAACCCAGTTTGCTGGGTTTGGTGGAGGAAGAGGAAGAACCCAGCAACTGAGTTTCGTCGAACCCAGTTTGTTGGGTTCGATGGAAGAAGAGGAAGAAGAGAAAGAAAGAAAAAGAAAAAAGATAAGAAGAAGATGGATCGAAAGAGGGGAAGAAGATGGATCAAGAAAGGAGACAGGGCTATTAAGGTAAATTTATAATTTTTTAATTTTTTTATTAA